TCTCAAAATATGTTCTCGCACCCCTCAAACCTAGATATATTTTTGTTTGTGTATTACAGTCATTGTTTAAAAATGTAGAATGTTAATAAATACACAGGTTTGATGAAACAAAGTAGTTGCACTTTATGGGCCTGTGCTTAGTTTGTGTTTTCAACGATTTACTATCTAAAAAAATCTGGCAGGTCTCGCACCCCCAAAAAGGGCACCTCGCACCCGCAGGGGGTGGGTGCACCCCAGTTTAAGAACCACTGGTCTAAATTGTCCCTAAACTCCTTCTATAGATCAGTATTCCTCCTCTCCAAATGCCCAGAAAAATCCACTCCGTGAGTTATTAATTATTATTCTTTTATTATGATTTATTATTTGTATGACTATAGTGCCTAGTAGACCCAGGCACCCCCTTGTGCTAGGTGCTGTGCAAACATAGAACAAAAAAGTCCCTGCCCCAAAGAAATTACAATCAAAGTAGAAGAGAAGATAGAGCTGGGGTAGCAGTCAGGAGATATGAATTCAATCCCCTGATTTACCACAGACTCCCTATGTGACCTTGGGTAAATCTCATGAGCTTCAGTTCCCATCTGTAAAATGGGAGTAATGAAACTTCCTTTCTGCCACCCTTTGTCTGTCTTGTCTATTAACATTAGAAGGTCTTTGGGCTACTGAATGTCACTCAGTGTTCGTACAGCGCCTAACACAATGGGGCTCTGATTAGACCCGGTTGGGAATTTTTCAGCAAAATGCTTTTCCATCCACAAATGCCCATTTGTCAAAACCAAAAGGTTTAATGGGAAAGAATCTGTTTCAGGGAATTTCCCACTTCCAAAAACTTTTTTGCGGAGTGGGGGGAGAAATGTTTTGAAATTGTTGAAACGTCCTGTTCTGACATTTTCTAAACCAAAGGTTCTGTCTTTCGGGTCAAATCCCATTTTCACTGCAAAATTTAAGTTAATTTATAGTACAAAAATTAAAGAAATTAAGTCAAAAGGTCAAAATGAAATATTTTGATCAACCGGAACGGAAATTCTTTTGGATCATCGGTTGGTGACAATTTTTGCAATTTCAACTTTTTGTCCTGACTCGAGATGGGACATTTTTTGCAAATCTTGCATGTTTTCTAGGATGGGGAAATTGTTTCTGGCCCAATTCTAGCCCTTTTCTCCATAGAGAAATAGTAATAAGTTACCTCCCTGAGCTATTTCTCTGTATTTATTTCACCACTCCAGCAACCATTCTCACATATAACTTATCTGGAGAGTAAATAGACCTGGTTTGTATTTGCAGGTCGAGAAATATGTATTTGTGTTTTATTTAAAATCCAGTTAATAAAAACACAACAAAAGTGGGCAGGGCTGCAAAACTGAGAGCTCATCCCGGCTCCGCTGAATCGTCCTGTTGGCCTCAACTGGACTACTTGCAGATGCAAAGGTTGGACCTCGGAATATTTAAACCAGTTTTGGCTGGCCCCTGTACTTGTAGACACTTAACAGCTTATCCCTTCTTAGATGGGCTCAGGACCATTGCTATATGGAAGAGAGGCCACTGGGTGGCTGGAGCATCCCTCTCTCATCCTCTTCATAATGACTATAAGGCTTCTTCCCCTTGCAGAACCCAGGGATACAGGCCAGTCACATCCTCTCCCTGTCGCTCGTGGAGCTGGCTGAAAAACTGAAGGAAAGTTCCCTGTCTCCAGAGAGCGTCCTCTACACGTACATGGACAAGGTGAGCAGCACGGGTAAAGAACTAAGTGTGATTTGCTTGACTTTTCTCTTGCGTTCTCTGCCTGAAGTCATCCTCGTAGCCCTGTAGCATCCTGGACCTCAGAAACTGCTCAGACATCACCGGTGATCAGCGTGGTGTGAGACAGATAGAAAGATACCCACCCAAAGCTGTATGCTTTGAGATTCCCATGGGGTTGGGGGGGAACGACTCCATGTAAATCCAAAAGTCCATTATTTACTTGTTTATGGACCACAAAGGATCCAGGACTGTCGAGGAACATTTTAAGGGAGATTCCATAATCAGTCCATTGAAAGAGAACAGAAGACTGATGGCCTGTCACCCCGGCCCAGGGAATAAAACAGTGCCCTGCCTGAGCCTGCTTCAGGCCCGTTTTCTCAGGGCTTCAACTTTATTTCTTCCACATAACATGAATTCAGCACATCAACCATCCCTTCCACCCTAACCCAAGGTCTTCTGCAGGGGGCCACTTAAACCTTACAGGTCCTTCTCTACTGGTCGCTGGCCTGGGTCACACCTAGCTCCAGAGCCTGCTGCAGGAGCCAACCTGCTTCCTGTAGCTCTCCAAATACTTGTATTTAAAGGGGAACAGGCTGGTCCAAAAAAGGAGCAGGCCACCCTCTTACCCAACCCCCGTTTCCTGGGTCTGGAGTGTAGCTGTGGCGCATCACACTTCTCTCCTTCTTACCAGGCAGGGGAGCAGGGCAGAGGACAATTCCAGGGTTCTTCACCCTCCTTTCTCCCTTCCCAAGCCTGGCACTGCTCAGGGGAGGATCAGAGAACAGACTGAGGAATTTGTCACACTGCCTTGATTGCCTGCAGGGGGGATAGAAGCAGAAGTGGGGGGCCGACACAGGCTAACGGGGTTCAGAGGATGTAGGCTGGGTGGGAGGCAGGGAAAGAAAGGTCTTTAACCACTCAGCCCACTGCCTTTCAGACCCTGGAATAGAACCCCTGAGACTTACCATCCCTGTGTGAAGCCCATTGGCAAAGTGTGTGACTCATCCCCCTTTAGTGCTGGTGGACACATCAAGGATGACAACCTACTACTGCTATTAGTTACTCCATTAGCTTAAGTGGCAGAAGTCTGAGTGATGGATTTAAAGGGTCTACCTCTGCGGATGACCCATGTGGGTGGCAATCTGATACCACATGATGGAATTTGCTTTGGTTTTTTTTAGTTCGCGGTCTGAAAAACCTAGGAAATTACATACATACATGCACACAAAAACTACCTTAAGAACATGAAGGTTCTTGCCTTAATTTTGGCATTTCCTGACTTTTGAATGCTTCGCTTTGCCACCTTCACGTTCTTTTAGCAGAAGTTTTTTTTAATGTAATAATGTATATTTTTATTATTACTTGTATAATAAAGTGTCTAGGGGCCCCGTTTTGTCTAGGGGCCCCAACTGAGTTTACAAGCTAAGTAGACGCAGGGTGGGAGGGGAAACCGAGATACAGTGAGAGGAAATGACTTGCCCAAGCTTCCTGACATTAAGTGCCCTAACCATTGGGTCATACTGTCTCCTCAATAGAGTGATATACGCAGGCCATAAGAGATGGGCGTGGGGGAATATAAATTCAGCCTGACCCCTGAGCTGAGTTCCCTCTATTTACTTATTCCCAGTCTCCTGATTTCCTGTCCCTCCTCTAAGTTAACTGAGATCTGTGTGTAGTTGGGGTTACTTCGAACACAGTAAGGTTTAGTGCACTAGCCATGGACTCAGTCCCTTTGGCAGTTTGACATGGCCAAGCCAGATAGCCTTTTATTTCCTCCTCTTAGTCAGCAAGTAACAAGGTGGCTGCCTGGTCAGGGGTTGTGGCCGGTTTACAGATTACGTAGAAATCATAGCGATGTAGGGTTGGATGAGACCTCAAGAGGTCATCTAGTCCATCCCCTCGTGCTGAGGCAGATTTAAGTCTACCTAGACCATCCCTGCCAGATGTTCATTCTGCAAGAGGGAAAGGCAGGACAACCTAGCTAAAAAGTAAATATTAACCTACCAATATATTTCCCCCCTATTGGAGTGTATGCAAATATTAGTAAGATGAGACATCAGCTGGGAAGAATCCAGGATTCGTTCCCAAGGCACTGAGCTGGGACTGAAGAGATCAGGGTTCCGTGCCCAGTTCTGCCATAGACGTTGGGCAAACCACTTCATTTCTCTTTCTGCCTTGGTTTCCCCATCTGTAAAATGGGGATAATAACCCTTCCTTTTTCTCACCCTTTGCCTGCCTTTCCTATCTAGATTGTGGGATTTGGAGGCAGGGACCATCTCTGTGTGTACAGTGCCTAGTCCATCAATGACTATTAGTCAAGATGGTCAGGAACCCAACCCCATGCTCTGGTGGCCCTAGCCTCTGACTGCCAGGAGCTGGGAATGGGTGACATGGGATGGATCACTGGATGATTGCCTGTTCTGTTCATTCCCTCTGAAACACCTGGCATTGGCCACTGTTGGAAGACAGGATACTGGGCTAGATGGACCTTTGGTTTGACCCAGTATGGCCATTCTTATGTTCTAGCACAGGGGTGGGCAAACTTTTTGGCCTGAGGGCCACATCAGGTTTCGTAAATAGTATGGAGGGCCAGTTAGGGAGGGGGTCGTGGCCCGGCCCCCACCTCCTATCTGCCCCCACCCCGGGACTCCTGCCCCATCCACACACCCTTGCTCCCTGTCCCCGACTGTCCCCGGACCCTTGCCACCCCATCCAACCCCTCCTCTCATTCCTGATGGCCCCCCAGGACCCCCTGCCCCATCCAACCATCCCTTCTCCCTGCCCCTGACTGCCTCCAGAACCCCTGCCCCTGACTTCCCCCCGCCACGCCATCCAACCCCTCCTCCTTCCTGACTGCCCCCCAGGGACCCCTACCCTATCCAACCACCCCTTCTCCCTGTCCCCTGACTGCTCCCGGACCTCTGCCGCTCCACCCAACCCCCCCTCTCATTCCTGACGGTCCCCCCGGGACCCCTGCCCCATCCAACCATCCTTCCTCCCTGTCCCCTGATTGCTCCCGGACCCCTGCCCCTGACTCGTCCCCTCGCCACCCCATCCAACCCCCCCTCCTTCCTGACTGCCCCCCAGAACCCCTGCCCCCATTCAACCTCGTTCCCGCTCCCCCGACTGCCCTGACCCCTATCCACACCCTTGCCCTCTGACCCCAACCCCGAACTCCCCTGCCCTCTATCCAACCTCCCCTGCTCCCTGCCCCCTTACCGTGCTGCCTGGAGCACTCGTGGCTGGCGGCGCTACAGCCGGGCCACGCCGCCGCCACCACCACCACGCAGCACAGAGCACCGGGTCGGGCCGGCTCTGCAGCTGCGCTGCCCCAGGAGCTCACAGCCCCACTGCCCAGAGCATTGCGCCTGCGGCGGGGCGAGCTGAGGCTGCGGGGGAGGGAGAACAACAGAGGAGGGGCCGGGGGCGAGCCTCCCAGGCCAGGAGCTGGGGGGCCGAGCAGGACGGTTCTGCGGGCCGGATGTGGCCCACGGGCCGTAGTTTGCCCACCTCTGTTCTAGCTTGATGACACCTGGCCTCTGTTGAAGGCTCTAGGAGTCTGGAATATCAATAATTAGGTTTCTTGTTGATTGGTTAGTTACTCTTTGCACAGCCTGTTGAAGGTATAAGGCACTGTGGAAATGCCGTGTATCTAATTTTGTGATTATTTCTTAATGCCCCGTTCCTGGTCTTTCCACGGAAAGGCCTTGGAGGTGACCCGGGAGGTGAACTGCCTGAGACATTTTATTCCGGAGTGTGAGGAGCAGCTACAGGAAGTGCGAAGGCAGAAGGAGAGAGGGTTATTGTATGGCGTTCCTGTCAGCATCAAGGATCACATTGGCTATAAGGTGTGTCCTTTACCATTTATTAAATAGCCCATCACGAGATGGGGGGGGGCCGTTGAGTGAATAAGTAGGTGCAGAGGACAAGGCGTGGGCTCAGTTCACCTCTCACATCGGTGAAAGGATCTCCTCTGAGGTCAGTGGAGTCCAGCTTATAGGCGTAGTTTGACTGCTGTATTGGGGGGGGGGGCAAGGGGCTTAATACTATTAATAATAGGTATAGGTCTGTAATGGTGCGGGACTCGCCCCTGCGGCGCCTCCTGCTGGTCGTTGGGAATTAGCTCTTTTCCAGCCTGGGCGCCCTCTGCAGGCTAGTGTTCCGCTTGTAGCTGGCCCCGTGTCCCTCCCGGACCCCGGTGCCCCTTTACCCTGGGGCTGCCCCCTGGCAATACCCCACCAGTCTCTATGGGTCTCCCCTCTCTGGGAAACCCCCCAACCCTCTAACCCCCACCTTGCCTCAGTCTGGGCTATTGCCCGTCACACCAAGCCCCCGCTCCCTGGGGCAGACTGCAGTGTAAAAGCCGCTCATCATAGGCGAGGGGGTTCGGACCTGCTGCCTTCCTCTGCCTCCCCGTGCCTCTGTGGGCCTTGGACCAGGCCCTGCAGCCTCGGGAGTTGCCAGCCTGGAGCTCCCCTGCTCCCCTGGCTCTCCCCAGCCCTGCTTCACTCCCAGTGCCCTTTCTGCAGGCAAATACAATTTATTAAACAGCAACTAATTTAAAAAAATAAGTTAAAAATGGGGAAGGTGAACGGAAAACCCGTCACCCCGCTCTGTGGCACGTCACAGGAACGTAAGGGAAGTTCATTCTGTTCCTCACACGTCCCAGGCCCCTGCCCCGGCCCTGGCTGTGCTGCAGGGATGCTGCGGGTCAGACACTTGCTCTGGCAGTGGCCACACGCCTCTTCATGCGCTAGGTGGCAGGAACCTTCTTCCCAGCGATCCCCCTCCAAGTCTGCAGGGCCTCTTGGCAGGGGGCATCTCCCTGTGCTGGGCCTGCTGCCCAGGGTCCCCCCTTGTTCTCCCCAGCTGCTCACCGCACCTGGCTCCAGACTGCTCCCATCCCAGCTCCACTTCCGGTTCCGGTCTGTGCCCTGGTCTGTCCATGTCCCCGGCTCGCCGCCCGGGGCAGGATGTTGGCAGCAGCGCTGGCGCTGGCCCAGGCTGGCCTTAAAGCCGCTGCACACCCTGCAGTGCTGGTGCAAGCTCGTTTTGAGGGGAGCTCCACAACAGAGACCCATCCCACCGTTCAACCAAAGGATGAAGTGGCCCAGAACCAGCTATGTGCTTTTGGAGAGGATGTGGCTGAAATTCTGCCCAAGTACATCCAGCAAGTCCAGGCGACCTGCTTCAGGGAATTGGAGATATTTATCCATCCTGATGGGGTTGTTCCAATTCTGACTTTTCTTCGAGATCACACCAATGCCCAATTTAAATCCTCATCCCTGCGGCTGCTCTGCCTCCAGCTCCCTGGGCTGTTTCTCCGGTTCTCTCTGGCTGGCCCGGCTCTGCTCCCCAGCTCAGCTCGGGCCCCTGCTCTCTCCTTAGCTCGGCCCCACTCTGTTCCAGGCAATTCCAGCTCACACGGAGAAAGGGACCCCCCGGCCTCCTGACTCCCTCATTAGCCTGCCCGCCCTGTCAATCAGGCTGACCTCTCCCCATTGTTCCTGGGGACTGTCAGTCTCAGGATCCTGATTTCCCATCCACGCTACCTCTTCATTTTGGTACTGGGAGCTAGCCAACCAAAACGCCCGCACGGAGTGTTAGTAAGGGGCCAGCAGTCCCCTTACTCATGGATGCCAGTGGAGTCAGCCGCCAGATCACCTTGCCTTATCCTGGATTGGGGTCTTTAGCGTCATCTGAAAGTGGATCCCTCTGTTCTACTCACTCCCTATCTCTAAGGCAGTGGTCCTCAAACTGTGGGGCGCACCCCCTTAGGAGGAGCAGAGGAACATTCAGGGGGGGCGGTGAGACCCAGGAGAGCCGCCACGGGGCGGGAAGGGAGCGTCACCCAGTCCCATTCTGCCCCCAGCTCCGCTCCAGCTCCAGCCCTAGACCCGCCCCCTGGCTGAGACCCTGGCTTCAGCTCCCAGCCCTGACCGAGGCCTGGCCCTGGCTTCAGCCCCCGGCCCTGGCTCTGCTCCTGGCTGCGGCGCATCCCCAGCTCCTGGGTAGGGTTGCCAGGCAGCCGGTTTTGGACCAGAACGCCCGGTCGAAAAGGGACCCTGGCGGCTCCGGTCGGCACCGCTGACTGGGCTGTTAAAAGTCTGGTCGTGGCGCGGCATGGCCCGGGGTAAGGCAGGCTCCCTGCCTGCCCTAGCGCCACGTGGCTCCCAGAAGCGGCCGCCAGATCCCTGCGGCCCTTAGGCACCTGGGCGGCCAGGGAAGCTCCGTGTGCTTCCCGTGTCCTGAGTGCTGGCTAAGCAGCTCCCATTGGCCAGGAACCGCAACCAATGGGAGTTGCGGGGGCGGCGTCTGCAGACACGGAGGCAGCGCGCGGCGCCTCACTGGCCGCCCGTGCGCATAGAGGCCGCAGGGATCTCGTGGCCGCTTCCGGGAGCCGTGGTAAGTGCCTTAGCCTGGTGACAGTGAGTGAGGGTGGGGGGAGAGCGAGTGATGGAGGGAGGGAGGATGGAGCGAGCGGGGGGCAGGGTCTCAGGGTAGGGGTGTTCGGTTTTGTGCGATTAGAAAGCTGGCAACCCAACTCCCAGGTGCGGGGGGTCATGGACTGATTACATTTCGGGTAACGAGGCTCATGATATAAAAAGTTTGGGGACCACTGCAATGTTTCTGGCTGACTGGAAAGGTAAGAGTTTGAAATGCGTCAACCCTTTTTGTGTTTCTCCGCCCCTCAGGGCCACCTCTCCACCTGCGGCTTTGTGCAACTCCTCAGCAGGCTGGAGCAAGAGGACAGCGTGATGGTCAAGGTCTTGAAGAGACAGGGGGCCATTCCGTTTGTACTAACCAATGTCCCACAGTCCTTATTCAAGTAATGTATTATTACAAATATTATCTGGCACACTTCTCTCCCTACTCAATAAGATAAAAGCCCGGGTCTAAATTAATCCTGGGAGATAACTGATGGGCTCTGCTGCGCTCCTTGAGCTTTTCCCTAAGCAATTCACGTTCCATCAGCTATGTATGGTCTCTAGACACAAAGCAAAACTACATCTACTCTCTGTCTAAAGTGGCTTCTGTCTGGGATTAAGGGAAGCAGCAAGAAAGAAAAGAGAAATAGGTCTCTGGGAGAGAGAGCACTGTGTGAGTGTCTCCTGTAGTACAATCTGCAGCCGCTCTGAGAACAAAATGTCTCCACACACAAGGCCTAGAGGCTCAGATCTTTAAGGTACTCAGGTGCCTATCTGCCTCTTTAAGCATCTAACTCCACCATTTATGGGCTACTGACATTTTCAAAGCCACTGCTCCACTGCCACCTAACCTCGCAGATGCCTACATTTCTGCTCTTCAGCATTTTCAAAGGCACCAAAGCCCGGATGCCACCCCACAGCTAACGAGCTGCTCAGAGCCCTTGCTCAAGCCGAAGCCCCAGGGGAAACATAGGGTGAGTGTGCGAGAGGTATTGAGTGTGAGCAGGAGACGGCGTTTTGGCTGCTGGGGCATGGGCTACCTAAGCACATGTGACCTGGCTGAAGTGCCTAACTCCAGGAGAGGGTTCGCAGTTGAGGATTCTGAGCAGAAGGAGGCACCTATCTCTGGACTGTCAGCTGGGTGCACCAGGTAGCCAATTGGGCACCTGTGATGGACATGTCAATTTCCTGCAATATCTATAGGAGATCGGAATGTATCGGGTTTGTGTATCATTGGGGGCCAGGCATTGTATGTGATTCTGTGTGGGAGGAGCACCACAGTTCCTCCAGGGACTAAGAATGGTGGTGGTGGGGGGTGATTAGGCGGTAGTGCCTCCGGAGAGGTCCCACCACCTGGAGAGGATCGCCTAGACTGGTTCAAAGTGGTTTCTTCAGATACCAGACAAAGAAAGGACTTCTGGATAAATAGCCTGAGTTTAAACTGCCTCAGCACCTGCTTTCTGCTTCAGCCAACGGATAGGGCCTTCTGTCCAAGGAGACCCCAGTCCTTCCTGGGAAGGGTGGGAAGGATTTTTGGCCTATGGAGGCCCCGTAAGACTGATGGGTGACCTCAGGTGAGCGGTTAGCATGCACGTAGGGGCTTTTATATGTTTTCTCTGTAATGCTTTTACCTTAAGAATAAATGGGCTTGCTTAAAAAGAGCTGCGTGGGAACTCATAACTGCCGGCAGTTACGCTGTTCGTAAGCCTTTGAAGAGGCAGCAAAGCGCAGATGGTGGCCAGTTTAAGCAGTCTGGCTTGTGGGGGATATCCCAGTGTAGGCAGGGAATGTCGCCCGACTCTAGAACTTCCTACGGAGATGAGCTTACCTCCGTTCCTACCCATTTGTCTGGAGGGAAGTTCCCTGCTGTTGCTGCTATTATTTATTCCACCTGCGCATCCTGGGGAAAAACCCAGTCAGGAGAGAGAGAGACGCAGGTCTCTGCCCAAGAGAGGGAGTGACTGGGGAGCCTGGAGCCTTGAGTGGGTGCCCTTGGTGGACCACAGAGGAGGGATACACCCGCAGTTGTCCTGAATTGTGACAGCGGCTACACGCCTCTTCTCTTCTCCCCCTCCCCTTGGCTTTTCACGCCTGGCTGGGCTTGGCAGGTCCTTGCTTGGCTGGCCGGCTTCTGAAAATCCCATCTTCAGGCCCCTGGCTCTGCCCAGCTCCATCTTGGAGCTGCAGATTCCCTGGGGCAGCAGACCACCTGGGGGTTAGGCACTGCAACACAGAGCCCAGCAATGCCTAAGCCCCTTTAAAGATCTGGGCCTGAGTGACTTCAGATTGTCAGTGACAGTCCAGTGGTTGGGGTGCTGGCCTGGGGCTTGGGAATCCCGGGGCCAATTCCTTGCTGTGTCCTAGACCTTGGGCAAGTCAGAGAGTCCACCTGGGCTTCAGATTTGTTCTCCGGCATTGTGAGGAGACATACATTAAAGACTGAGGCGCTCGCATTCTAGAGGGATGGGGGCCAGATCATTATGTTGGGCAGAAAGAAAAATGTCCAGCAAACTTCCGGGTTACTCCTCCCTCCTGGCAAGGATGTGAAGTAGAGATGTGACTGTCCCCCCCAGTGTCCAACCCGCTCCTTTCCTCTCTCCAGCTACGACTGCAGCAACTCGATCTTCGGCCAGACGGTGAATCCGCTGAACCACCAGAAAAGCCCCGGCGGCTCCTCCGGAGGGGAGGGGGCGCTGATCGCCGGAGGAGGGTCCGTCCTGGGCTTTGGGACGGATATAGGTGGGAGCATCCGCCTGCCGTCCAGCTTCTGCGGGCTGTGCGGGCTCAAGCCGACGGGCAACAGGCTGAGGTAGGTGCAGAGACCTGCCCCCCGCCTGCTGAAGGGCTGCACTCCGTGGTAGGAGACCTGCGAGTGATGGTGGCTTTATTGATTCAGATGGAGCCCCTCTCCGTTTCAAGGCGTATGCGGTTCTGAAATCACATTAGTGACTCAGGGGGGCAAAAAGGCAATGGCTGTCTGGTCACTCCAAAAAGCATTGCCCCTTTAGATCACAGGCCTTGTGCTTTTAGTACCAAATGTCGGGGGTTCCCCCGGGACCTCTTCCACTCGGAATCCCAAGAATTCAGTCCTCTCCTGTCTCATCACCCAGGTTCCGTTCTCTGGCAGACAGCAATGCTACGCTGAGTTGATCAGATTCAAGCGTAAGGGGTGGGTCTGGGGCATGCCACATCTCCAAAGTTACACAGCAAACCTCTTCCTTTATATACACGTACATGTTACATGGCATTTACTCTGCTTTGCATCACACGTTTTGGGATTGGCTTGATCACTTCGTAAGAACCAATCTCCGTACAGCACACACTCTCCATGCGTGACCTAGGCCTGGTCTACACTACAGTTAGGTTGATGCAAGGCAGCTTACCTTGGAAGTGGCTACACTTAAATTTCACTCCCAACAAAGTCACCGCCCCACTAGGCCAACTTAATAACTCCGCCTCCCCGAGTGGCGTAGAGTCAAGGTTGAGGTGGGTAGGCCGACGCAGTGTCAGTGTAGACCAGAGGTGGGCAAACTACGGCCTGTGGGCCACATCCGGCCCGTGGGACTGTCCTGCCCGGCCCTTGAGCTCCTGGCCGGGGAGGCTAGCCATGGCCCCTTCCCTGCTGTCTCCCCTCCCCTGCAGCCTCAGCTCGCCGTGCCGCCAGTGCTCTGGGCGGCGGGGCTGCGAGCTCCTGCTGGGCAGCACGGCTGCGAAAGCCGCCGGCCTGCCCCGGTGCTCTAGACTGCACGGCAACATGGCTGGCTCCGGCCGGGCGGTGCGGCTGCCAGTCCTACTGCTCTGAGCGGCATGGTTAGGGGGCGGGGAGCGGGGGGGTTGGATAAGGGGCAGGGAGTCCCAGGGGGCAGTCAGGGGACAAGGAGCAGGGGGGGTTGGATAAGCGTGGGAGTCCCATGGGGCCTGTCAGGGGGCAATGGTGTGGATAGGGCGCAGGGCAGTCAGGGGACAGGGAGCAGGGGGGGTTGGATAGGGGATGAGGTCCCGGGGGGGCGGTTAGGGGCGAGGGTCCCAGGAGGGGGCGGTGGGGAAACAAGGAGCAGAGGGGGTTGGATGGGGCGGGGATTCTGAGGGGGGCAGTCAGGGGGCGGGAAGTGGGAGGGGGCAGATAGAGGGTGGGGTCCAGGCTGTTTGGGGAGGCACAGCCTTCGGAACCCCGATGTGGCCTTCGGGCCAAAACGTTTGCCCACCCCTGGTGTAGACACTGCATTGCTTATGTCGACTGTTACTAGATTTCAGGAGCCTTCCCACAATGCCCCACGCTGACAGTACGAACGTTACAAGTGCTCCTGGTGAGGATGCGCACTGTCGGCAGAAGGAGCAAAGTATAGACACACGAGCAATGTAATTACTGCGACAGCTGTGTGCCAACCTGTTCGGTCGCCTAAATTTTCTAGTGCAGATACGTCCTCACTCTTTATCTCTTCTTCGGATCCAGGCTTATTTTATCCATTGTTACCTTGTCCATTGTAAATGGGTCCCTTGGTGTTTGCCTTCATTTTAGCTAGTACAGAGACATTCTGTCTACAGCCTGCTGATCCCTTTACCTCCCTAATCCTGTCTCCTAAGAAATATAATTACTCATGTCAAGCCAGGCCTACACCAAACACCCAGAATTCAAACCCCACTGATAGTTTTGAAGCAGCCAGATTTTGCTACATTCTTATCTGGGGAGAGATACAATTCATAGAATCATAGAATCTCAGGGTTGGAAGGGACCTCAGGAGGTATCTAGTCCAATCCCCTGCTCAAAGCAGGACCAATCCCCAACTAATTGATGGATTTCTCAGGATGTATCTTTCTGTGGTAATAATAATAATAATTAATACTAATTAATAATAACAGAACTTCTCTAGCTCAAAAATAAGTTGTGGGCTTGATGGAGGAATTGCAGGGCGAAGTTCTCTGTCTTGTGCTCTGCAGGAATTCAAATTACATGACCCTAAAGCTTGAAATCTATGAAATTCTGAATAATCTTGGGTGAACCGCTCCCTTTTAGCAACGTGACATGTTGTTCTATTTCTTCCTTTCACAGTCTCTCTGGAATTAGCGGCCCTATTGATGGGATCCTATCAGGTACATGAATTTTAAGTAACTTCCTCTTAAATATTGTGATGAACAAGAACATTAGGAATGAATCTTGATTAAACAGAAGACATCCTACTTCCAGGGCAGGGCTCTCAGCTGGAGAGTGCAGTGTGGTGGATGATTGTTTAATGGAATTTCTAACAAGAAGAATTTTTCAGAAGCTGTAAGTTCTTCCTAGAACTGAGTGAATTGGGGATGGTGGGTTTGGGTTGTTTTTTTGTTTGTTTGTTTTTTGGCGGGGGGAGGGCGTTTATTTATTTATTTATTTATTTATTTATTTGGGATCAGCACTGAAACACCTGGGAAAAAATAGTTTTTTGGGTCAACCTGAAAGGATAATTTTTCAGTTTTTCTCACCTAAGAACCAGAAAAAAAAAATCATTGCGGGTCAAACGAAATACTTCTTTTCTGTGTGTTTTTTACACTTTGTTTGTTTTTTTAATTTAAATCAACCTAAATTTCTAAACAAAACGTCAAAACATTTTCTTCTGAAAGGATCGAAACGAAACATTCAGACTTTTTCGGAAACTTGTTTCCCCATTTCCCCTCCCCCCCAAAATAAAACGATGTGTTGAATGGGACACAAATTCGGGACTGGTTTCGGTTGACCCCAAACTGCATTTTTCAGCAAATAAACTATGTGCTGAAAAAATGCCACCCAACTTTAGAACTGCCAGCAGAGATGAGCTTGCCTCAATTCCTACGCATTTGGCTGGAGAGACGCTCGCTGCTGTTGTTGCTACACCGCTACCCTAATATAATGCGACCTGATATAACACGAATTCGGATATAACGCGGTAAAGCAGTGCTCTGGGGGTGGGGGGGCGGGACTGCGCACTCCGGTGGATCAAAGCAAGTTCGATATAACGCGGTTTCACTTATAACGCGGTAAGATTTTTTTGGCTCCTGAGGACAGTGTTCTATCAGGGTAGAGGTGTATTTATTATTTGGATTGAAATAGCCCTAAGGGGCACGTCTACACAGCCTGTGGACGTGAGCCTCCAAGCCTGGGTTGACAGACTCAGGGTGAAGTTGCACTTTGAAATTGCATCTTGGTCTGGAGCCCACTTCCCTCATAGAATCTCAGGGTTGGAAGGAACCTCAGGAAGTCATCTGGTCCAACCCCCTGCTCAAAGCAGGACCAACCCCAACTAAATCATCCCAGCCAGGGCTTTGTCAAGGTGGGCCTTAAAAACCTCTAAGGATGGAGATTCCACCACCTCCTTAGGTAACCCATTCCAGTGCTTCACCACCCTCCTTAGACTTCCTTTCTGTTCTCCCACCTGGCTCGTTTGTTTAGACTGTGTGCCCTCTGTGGGGGGACTCTCTCTTACCACACGTGTATATAGTGCCTAGCGCAACATGATCCCATAATAGTTGGGACTCCTAGATCCTAGAATAGCGTAGCTGAAGTCGACGTATCTTAGATCGATTTACCTCGGGTCCTCACGGTGTGGGATCGACGGCCGTGGCTCCCCGTCGACTCTGCTACCGCCTCTCGCTCTGGTGGAGTTCCAGAGTCGACGGGGAGCGCGTTCTGGGATCAATTTATCGCGTCTAGACGTGACACGATAAATCGATCCCCAATAGATCGATCGTTATCCGCCTATCCGGCGGGTAGTGAAGACGTACCCTAAGTGTGGAGATTCCACCACCTCCCTAGGTAACCCATTCCAGTGCTTCACCACCCTCCCAGTGAAATAGTGTTTCCTAATATCCAACCTAGACCTCCCCCACTGCAACTTGAGACCATTGCTTCTTGTTCTGTCATATACATATATGTTTTTAGTCTCACAGCAAATAAGTTAATAATTTACTTAATTGGTTAATAACATAGTAAAAGCATCCTGACTGGTTAACAACTTAGATTGCAGTACATGATATTAAAACACTGTGTGATTTCATTATTAATCAAGGAGCTGCACTAAAGAGCCACTTGTGGCTCTCGAGTCCCTATCTGAGTATCACTGATTTAGTATATCCCGGGTCGGAGCAGGATTGTTCCATCCAGAGTTCAATCTCTAGGCGAAAATCGTTTTTTTTGCCACCTCAAATCCCATTGGTTAAATTATACACATGTTCTTCCATATTGATGCCAGTTACAGGAGCGGTAGGACCAATGGCGAGGGACGTGGACAGCCTAGCTCTGTGCATGAGAGCGCTCCTGTGTGACGACATGTTCCGCCTGGACCCCACCGTGCCGCCCCTGGCCTTCAACGAGGAGGTAGGTCATTGGAGAGTGAAGTAGCACTGCTTTCCTCAAGCTGTTGCTGATAGGATCTTCTCAGAGACCCGGCTCTTGAGGGTCTGTTGGAGGCAGGCAGTTGTTCCTATCTTGCAGCCCGGAGCAAGCTTTAAATCCCCGTCTCTGTGCATTGAAATGGGCGCTCACCGTCCAGCACGAGTCCCCTCCTGAACAAAGCTTTCCAGGGAGAGGGACAAAGAACATTGGGGGTGATGGGAAATCTGCCCCAAAGGGCTTCCCGTTCCGGTGCACAAAGGCAAAAGCCGCCTGCAGAGATGGCCTGCAGCGTTCTCTCCTGGCTATACAAAATGGCTGCACTTTCTCACACTGCCCGCTTTAAACTTCCCCTCCTGGGAGGAAGGGTTGGGCTGAAAGGAGGAAGCAGGAACATGGGAAGTGGAGAAGGTGGGGGGGAAGGAATGAAAAGGAGACCTCCACTAAGAAACCCAACCGAACAAACGGGAGTGTTGCCAGCTCTTGGGACTGCATCATGACGAATGCCATTTCGGCCCTGGCTGCAGGCAGTCCGGCGAGGGCATGAAAAATTCCAGCCGTCCCCCGATTTATTGAGAGCGCTTCCACAACACCCTGCCGCCCAGGTGTGACATTGGAGACTGGGAGTTCTCATCCTGGCTCTTCCATTGACATATTCATCTTTCCAGGCCCCTTGTAACCCTTATTATTAAGCAAGCCTCCAAACAGCTCCCTTAGGGGAGGTAACAGCCATTCACCCATTTCACAGGTAAGATAACGGAGCACTTGCACAAGGGAACCATGGGTATGTCTCCACTTCAACATAAGTCAGTGTTTGAGGCTGGGCTCAAGCCTAACCCCCCTTGCATTTAGTCTACACTGCAATTGCACTAACCCAGGGCTTGCACCCAAGCTCCCAGAACCCTGCAGGGCTGGTGGGTCCAAGCTCGAGTTAAGCTATGACCCAGGGTCCTAGTCCTATTGCTTTGCAGTGTGGACACAGCCCCGCTTGACTCCCAGGAGTCAGCCGGATGTATCCCACAATTCCCTGGGACAACTTCCTTAGTCCTCTCTATCCCAGCAATCTGCCATCCACTCCGCTCCCACCCTTTGTGTGTCTCCCATTCCACCCTTTGCCCTCCCATTTGCCCCATGCCAAGGGCTCTGTAGGCTCCCCATTCCCCTCTTCCCCCATGCTAAAGGTTTTGTGTGCCCCCATTCTCCCCGGCACCAGCAGTGCTGAGTGCCCCCCAATCCCATCTTCTCCCATGCCAAGGGTTCTGTGTGCCCCCTGTGCCCCCCACCAGCAGTGCTGTGTGCTCCCCAATACCCTCTTCCCTCCTGCCACAAGCTCAGTGTGTACCCCATTCCCCTCCCACCCATGCTAAGGGTTCTGAGTGCTAGCCAATCTCCTCTTCTCCCAGGCCATGGACTCTGTGTGCCCCCCATTCCTCTCCCCTTCCCATGCCATGGGCTCTGTGCCCCCCATTGCCCTCTCCCCATGCCATGCCCTTTATGTGCCCCCCATTTGACCCTTTCCCATCCATATCAAGGTCCCCCATTCTTCCTTCCTGCCAGGGGCTCTGTGTGCCCCCCCATCTCCCCAATCCACTCTGATATCATTTCTTTCTGTCAGGGGGAGGAGGGGATAGGTCCAGGGGTCAACATTTTGTAACTGTCCCAGCTCCATGGGCAATGTGGAGATATTAAGCTTTGTTTTGCTGTTGTGTTTGTCATGTTTGTATGTTGGGGACTGGGAATCGCTCCTTTAAGAACAGGGCCCAGTGGACTGAGAGCGCGTTTGAGATGGAGGCAGGGGGGCGCATTTGGCCTGTGTGGCTAAAGAATGTCAGAGCCTGCCTGCGTGAGATTCAGACAGTTGCCTCCTTCTCAAAGGGGCAACGTTAGTATTCTTGGGGGCTGGATGCCTGGGGGTCGCTACTCAGCGACAGACCATTTCACCTGGCCATCACCAGTTTGAATCCTGGCTGGCCTGGCTCAGGAGAGGTTAAAAATTAGCTGTTCCCATCAAATGAGCTGAGTTTGGTGAGACCAGTATCAGCAGCTAGGTCACAGACTAAGGGAAACAGAGGAGTACACAGATTCCCTGGCACAGGGCAAACTGGGGGCAGAGACTTGGCATAGATGGCAAGCAAAGATTGTCTGTTCTGTGTTTGTACAATGAGAGAACTCGTCTATTGAGAGCTTGTGTGGCCAGGGCTGAAATGTCCTTACACTGCACGTTTGCAAGAAATGTTCCCCGCACACACTGGGAATGGGCAGGGGGAGTTTTCAATCAAACGCTAACCCCCCATCCCCCAAATATGATTAAGGGTCTTTATAAAATCTCAGGCTTTGGGGCGAATCTCATGATTTTGGGGGTCTGACTCCTGGTGTTTTTTTTCACGTTTGGGACTGGTAAAAACGTTTCCCCAAAACCTTTTGAGGTCCACCCAAGTCTGGGAAAAGTCTGATCTATGTTCTAATCCCAATACACGCCCAGCTTGAACTGTTTTAAAAAAAGGCTCCCTTCACTTCAGGTGTACTCCAGCTCTGCCCCTCTTCGGATCGGGTACTACGACACAGACGGCTATTTCCTGCTACCTCCCTGCATGAGACGGGCTGTGCATGAAACCAAGGAGATTCTCCAGAAAGCTGGACACACAGTGAGCTCGGCCACTCCAACCTCTTGTTCTGAGCCTGTTTCTTTGACCTGGCCCATAAAAGTGAAATTGCTCTCCAGATGATTCTCTGTGTTTCTATAGCACAAGAAACCATCCAGCAATGGCTGGTGGAATTGAGCACGGAGGGGGGCAGGACAAATGACTTAGATGGCAGTAGCAGGTCTCTTAGCCTGTGTGTGGAACCAGTCACTGGAGGGCAAAAGATCACTCATTCATATACACCAGTGGTCCCCAAGCTTTTCAGGGTCGTGCCCCCCGTTACCCCTGTCTGCACCCTGCCCACCCGGGGCCTGGAGCAGGGCTGTGGCTCTGAGGGGTGGGACGCAGACAGGAGTAAGGGAGCTGAGTCTGGGGGCAGGGATGGGGCCAGGAGTGAAGTCCTGGCTGGGGGCCAGAGTCTTAGGTGCAGGATCGGCAGCCAAGGATGGGAATGGGAGCAGAGCTGGGTGGCACTCCCTCTCCGCCCCTTATAGGGGATGGCCCGGGCCCCAGCTGTGCCCCCCAAGGGAGGTGCACCCCACAGTTTGTGCGTGGGTGTATATCAGAGGTCCCCAGAGCCAGTATGCTACAGAACTGTTCTGTTCCCTGCCATAGCAGAGGGAGCCCCCTAGTGGAGCAGCAGCACAGGGCAAATACTCTTGCTGCGGGATAACGAAAGGGGCCGGGCGTGGGGAACCGGTCACCCCTCTGTGGCATGTTCGTCTGATTTTAGCAGAAGGGTTGACAGGACGCAAAGGCTGAGCACAGACGGGCCCGTGTGGGGCCAAGTGCTCTTGTTTATTACTGGATCCCAGGTTTAGCAGCACCACTAGGGGGGTCCATAAGCGAGCCAGCAAACGCTCAAACTTTTCCGACGGTGGACACGGCCCCTGTCTTGCTCCAGGGAGACGCTTCTCCCCAGAACAAGGGAAGCAGGGCAGAGAGGGCCGGGCCCTTTAATTAGTGCTACAGGGTGACCATGTTCTCTTGGGGACCCACCTCTTAGCAGGTGTCCGTCCTGCTGGGCCGGTCTAAAGGAGTTCTGCTGACTCGCTGTTGGCATTGTGGTTCATCACTAAGGCTACGTTTTAGTCACGGGTATTTTTAGTAAAAGTCACGGACAGGTCACGAGGAGTAAGCAAAAATTCACGGCCCATGACCTGTCCACAACTTGTACTATATACCCCTCACTAAATCTTGGGCCAGGGGATGCTGCAGGTGCTTGTGGGGAGGGGCAGCCTGGGGGTGCTGCAGGTGCTCATGTGGGGGCACCATGGGGGTGCAACCGATGTTTGTGGGGGGCAGCCTGGGAGGCGCCATGGGTGCTTGGGGGGGAGCAGCCCAGGACCCCCGCTGATGCTGGGGGGGTGGCCCGTGGCCCGGAACTCCTGCAGGTGCTGGGGTGGGGGGATTGGCGGCTCCCCGGAAGTGGCGACATGTCCCTCCCTCAGCTCCTAGCTCCATGTGCTGTCCCCGCCCCAAGTGCCAGTTACGCAGCTCCCATTGGCCGTGAACCATGGCCAATGGGAGCTGCGGGGGCGGTGCCTGTGAGCAGAGGCAGCACGTGGAGCGAGATGCTGAGGGAGGGACATGTCGCCACTTCCAGGGAGCCTCCCAAGGTAAGCACTGCCCAGAGCCCTCACCCCCTCCTGCACCTAGCTGCGGCCGGTGCAGCTGGCCCCGGGGGCTGCCCGAGCCGCTCAGGTAGCCCCCTGGCCAGCCTCCCCGGCTGCTGCAGAAGTCCCGGAAAGTCCCGGAATCCATGACTTCCGTGACAAACTCGCAGCCTTACTCATCAACTCTGCCCAGGACGGAATGGAAGTAGGAATGGCTCTGGGAGGAGAGAGGATCTAAGGTCTGGGCTGAGCAGTCCCGAGGGAGGAGCAGCCACACCTACACAGAAGGCTTGAGCTGGAATCTGCTATATTATTAGATTCTAGGCAAATATAGCCATACCCCAGGAAGGGGGTGAGCTCTGAACCTGTACAGAGAGAGCGTGTCTTGGAGTGGGCTGCAAAAGCCACCAGCTTCTACGTTTATTCCCAAGCACGGTGCTTATTCCTGGGAGAATTCCCATTGAAACGAGAGGGGAAGCCACAGCAGTGAGCGATAAGCCTGGTGATGTGTGTTTGCAGGATCCAGGCCCTGAGCTATTAGTTACATTCCATGGAGCCCGACTGCTAGTCGAATAACCTTTTGCTCTCATGTAGCTGGTGCCCTTTGCTCCTCCTCGGCCTGACTACGTCATGAATGAGCTTTTTGTGAAAGGTCTTTTTGCTGATGGAGGCTCCACTTTACTGGGCATGTTGTAAGTATAAACCCTCTGTCCTTCTGGTGGGAGTTAAACTGTCCCCAGCGAGCTCGTGTGTGACAGCCCATTAGCACCACCAGCAGTTCTATGTCAGGGCAGCAGGGTGTCTCCATGCGGGGCGGGGACGGAGGATGGGTTGGCAGAGCGGAAAGAGGTGGAACGCGGGTCTGAGACTAGAGACGAAGTGACCTTTCCTCCTAGCCTCGCCGGACTCACAGACATTCAAAGCAGTCGTTGCCCATAAGGGAGGGCAGATGACGTGCTGCTTCTAAGAGAGAAGCCACGGGGACTGGAGGGGTTCTGGCCAATAAACGAGTGACTTGACTGGAAATTTACAGCAGAGGCTGATAATGTCTGCAAGTGGGCGGGTAAAACTGGCCCCGGTGAGGTGATCAGAGTCAATATGCATCGATGGATAAATGCCAGACAGCACCTGGCACGCAAATCAACACCCTGCTTGCCACGGAGATGCCACTATTTATAGGCCATTAAATCAATGCAAGACACTACCTGCCCCAAAGTGCCTCCCTGAGTCAATCAAGTACAGCCTAAGGGCCAGCAGCTCTCTGCAGAAGTTGTGGACACCACAGGTGGATTGGCACACGTGGTACTGAAGCTTTAGGCCCAAGTTATACCACTTTCCAAACCTGCTCCAGGGAGTGTATCTGGGCCAACAGACGTGGTTGCCCCGAGTTAGGCACCTAAATGCAGTCAGGCCTCCAGACTTACCGTGGCGCGAATCTGGAGAATAAGGGCCAGAACTGGTGCTCGGTGCCTTATGCCAACTCACGCCAGAGGCCAAAACCCTGCAGTGCAATTCCAGAGTGACTCCAAGGAAGGCAACAGAGCTCCCCAGGAATCACACCCTCTGGATCTGCTCTTCCTCTCATTTCCAGGGGCGTCACCCCAGGGTGACTCCACTGATTTCAGCAGAGTTACTCCCAACCTCCGCTGGTGGAAGCTGGAGTAGAATCCGGCCCGTGGGCATTCTGCAGTGCAGTTTGCACCCATGCGTCGGCTGCTGCCTGCATCCCTAGCTGCGGGAGATGAATGCCATGTTTTATAGCAGAGGGAGTTTGTTTCCAGGCATTGAGACAGCAAAATTCTGGTTAGGTGTCAGCCAGCTGTTAGGTGTAAAGCAACTGGCTTCTGCGCTCTCCCTCTGTTCCCTCCCAGTGCAGGGGACGTTGTGGATCCAGGCTTGGAACCCCAGGTGAATTGTTACAGGATTCCAACACTGGTGAAAAAAATGCTGGCTCTTACGGTTCGACCTCTGGTGAGTCTCATCTTCTTATCTCAATGCTGGCTTGCGCCCCAATGGCCCCAGCTCACATTCCGGGGGCTGGTGTCCATGGGAAGCTGGTGGAGTTTGTAGCACAATGACTGAGGTGAGGCCTCTTAAGATGAAGGAAAGTGCTGCTACTTTTCAAACTCTCTTCATCTCACTTGCCTAGTTTTTCCCCTAGACCCACCCCAGTTAGGTTTGTCGATGGCTATTGTTGGAAATTTGGGGAGGATGCAGAAAAGAGCCGCAAAATGATCCAAGGGCTGGAGAAAATGCACTACGCCAGGGGTCCTCAACCTTTTTCTTTCTGAGCTCTCCCTCCCCCCCGCCCCCAACATGCTATAAAAACTCCATGGCCCACCTCTGCCACAACAACTGGTTTTATGCTTATAAAAGCCAGGGCTGGCATTAGGGCGTAGCAAGCAGGGTAACTGCCTGGGGCCCCACGCCACAGGGGCCCCCACGAAGCTAAGTTGCTCGGGCTTTAGCTTCAGCCCCCAGTGGTGGGACTCGGGGCTCTGGGCTTCAGCTTTCTGCCCTGGGCTCCAGTGAGTCTAACACTGGCCCTGCTTGGAGGACCCCCTGAAACCGCTTTTGAGGCCCCCCAGGGGGCCCCTGCCCCCTGGTTGAGAACCACTGCCCTACAGTGAGAGACTTAAGGGGCTGTGTTCAGGTTATTAAAAAGCAGATTGAGAGGTGACTTAATAGTGGGTGTATAAGTACCTTCCCCGGGGGTGGGGGACCAGGTACTAAAGAGCTCTTTAATCTAGTGGAGAAAGGCAGAGCGAGAACCAATGGCTAGAAGCTGCAGCTAGCCAAATGCAAATTAGAAAGAAGGCCCCAGTTTTTAACAGCGAGGGTGATGAACCAGTCAACCAAACTCCCAAGGGAAGTGGTGGATCCTCCATCTCCTCATGTCTTCAAATCCAGCCTTGGATGCCTTTCTGGAAGAGATGTGTTAGCCATTGCACTCACGACAAGGGGAGCAGGGCGAAATCAATCCCGGGTTACGCAGGAGGTCAGACTAGATGATCGAAAAGTCCTTTCTGGCTTAAAAATCGATGAATCTCTGATCTCAGTTACAAGCTTTGGTTTGAATTTCCTTTCCCAGTGATTTACTCCATATGTTTATTACTCTCGGCCTGAAGTAATTTTATCTCCTCAGGTTGAACCATTTAATTTCTCTGTGTTCATTTTTCCCATCTGTAAAATGGGGATAGCGCTGACCGACCTGTCAGGGGTATTATGGGGGTGAATGAGGTCCTGTTTGTGCAGTGCTAGCACCGGATGTTATAATGGTAATGTTAAAGAACACACAGGCGTTGTTGTAAAAGGGGGGCAGGGGTGTCCTTGGCCCAGAATCAGTGGGTGGCGTTGTCATGTGCACTGGTTTGTTCCGCACCCTAGAAGTGGCTGCATCTCAGTGCTATGTTTTTCGTTTGTAAAGGGCTTTGTGTCTCTGGGCAGGAGCTAAAGCCCGTCAAAGAAGCCCATTGACTTCACTGGGCTTGGATCATGTGCTATATAAATTATTAATTATTAGTCTCAGCAATCTCTATGAAGTGCCATCCAAAGATAACCAGGGGGCTATTGACTAAAAAGTCAGAGCCTCAGGGATGGTGGGAATCCAACTCCTTCCATTGTGACATAAGAACATAAGAGCGGCCATACTGGGTCAGACCAATGGTCCATCCAGCCACTATCCTGCCTTCCGACAGTGTCCAATGCCAGGTGCTTCAGAGGGAACGAACAGAACAGGCAATCATCCAGTAATCCATGCCCTGTCGCCCATTCCCAGCTTCTGGCAAACAGAGACTAGGGACACCATCCCTGCCCATCCTGGCGAATAGCCCTTGAAGGACCTAGCCTCCATGCATTTATCTAGTTCTTTTTTGAATCCTGTTAGTGCAGTGGTTCTCAAACTTTTGTACTGGTGACCCCTTTCACACAGCAAGCCTCTGAGTGCGACTCCCCTTATGAATTAAAAACACTTTTAAAATATTTAACACTATTATAAATGCTGGAGGCGAAGCGGGGTTTGGGGTGAAGGCTGACAGCTCGCAACCCCCCAGGTCATAACCTCGTGACCCCCTGAAGGGTCCTGACCCCCAGTTTGAGAACCCCTGTGGTAGTGTCTTAGTCTTCACAACATCCTCTGGCAAGGAGTTCCACAGGTTGACTGTGTGTTGTGTGAAGAAATACTTCCTTTTGTTTGTTTTAAACCAGCTGCCTGTTAATTTCATTGGGTGACCATTTCCTGCAGGCTAGACAAGACTCTGGGTGCCCAGTTCTGATCCCAACTGAAATGTAATTTGCCTCTTTTCAGTTTCCGCGCCTGGCGGGTTATTTGGCTGCGCTGTGTGGAGTGAGGTAAGAGAGAGCGTCGCATTCGAATAACCGCATGGACATGGTGCATTTGCACAGCATGAGTTGTAGGGCAAAGGAAAGGTGGGCGTGTCCTGACCCTCTGGCTTTCACTTTCCTTCTGACATCGGCCCAGATCCTCGGTTGCTGCAAATCAGTGTAGCGGTGTTGACATTGGCAGCGCTCTGCTGATTTACATGAGCTGTGGTTCTGTCCCATCAGCTTGAACTTTTGCACGTCCTTTCACGCTGCTACCGGTAAAGTGCCATGAATTGTAACATCTGCTGCTTGCCAGAGTCCCACGGGCAGAGGCAAATGGATTGTAACCATGTAAATGGAATGGACTGTAACTGTGTTTAGGGAGTGGGCTGCAACTGTGTTAATCCATAGAGCGCACACGTTACGTGTGGGGAATGGAGACCAGGGCTGACCAAGTGACTTACCCAAGGACTCACGCTGAGTCAGTGACTGAGCCGGCAATAAAGTCTTGAGTCCCATCCACCTGTTCTCACCACATTAGAGGCCACTTACCTAATGTTTTGGGACAAATCTTGAAGTTCCCAAGATTCTCCCTGTGCCGTCAAGAGGAACTTTGACTAATTAAGGACTGAGAAAATACCCATCGTGTCCTGAGCCCTCTATTCTGTAGGAAGACGGAGCTAGAGAAGAGTATCTACAGAGGCCACCATCATCCTAGTATTGGAGTACCTCAAAATATAGGAACCCAGAACATAGAGTGGAAGGCGCCACCTGAGTCCTCGTGTCCAGTTCCCCTGCTGTCGCTGGCCATCCCATCATATAATCCCATTCATAATCTTATCAAGTTCCACCTTCAGATGAATGAGGTTATTTGTACCCACAACTCTTACTGGGAGGCAGTTCCAGGACTTCCCTCCTCTGATGGTTGGAAACTTTCTAATTTCTAGCCTGAATTCCTTCCTGGCCAGTTTAGTCCCATTTGTTCTGGTGCTAGCCCTTTGGCTTGAATAACTCTTCCCCCTCCCTGGTGTTTACCCCGAGAGTGGTCAGATCCCCTGTCAGCCTATGTTTTGCTAGGCTAAACAAGCCAAGCTCCCTCAGTCTCCTCAGAAGATGGACCATCCATTAATGAATTTAGCCTCACAGCTCCTGTGGTGAGGTAGGCAACTTTTATTGCCCTCCCTGCACGGACGAGGAGCAGAGAGATGAAGTGACTTGCCCAAGCCACACTGGGAGTCTGTAGTGTTGCCATCCGTGTAGTGCTCTCTCCATATGCTGTCCCAGCCCTGCGCAGTTAGGTGGTTCAGCAGACTTCAATAGTACTGCCCAGAAAGAAAGACCATTGGCACGGTGCAGTGACAAAGGCACTCAGCCAGGTTTATTGTCCTTAAGTCGCAGTACTAGTGCTCGGACTCTGTGGTTACAGGTTCATTGACACATGACTGCCCAGGCGCAAGGAGCGGCTCCATCAGCAGTAGGAGGATCTGCTGTCCCCTAGGCCACACAAAGGGTTAAGGCGAAGTACCCTGTCATTTATAGACTGAGACAAACAACTTACGTATTTCGTGACATCTGCTTGTTACCTCCCCTTGGATCTTGCTCCAGGGCAAAACATCTCTACGCATCACTTCTGTCAAACTCTCTTATCTGGTGTTAGGTCAGAACATACCTGGCTAATCATCTGGAGTGTGTTGATACACATACCCCAGTATCTGTTGCTTCTTTGGAGTACTTGTGTTTTAGCAACGCTAGCAATACCTTTGCCAAGGTCACGTATCGGACAGTGAACTTGTTAGCATCTGCTAGAATACATGGCCTAACTTTGCTGACTACAGGCCTCAGCTCTTACACCAAGCCCAGTGCTCAGGCTCTCTCTCTCTCTCCAACATGTGGAAGAGCTGAAAACTCAACCCAGATCTCCTGAGGCCCAACCTAGTACCTTAACAATTGGACCAACCTTTCCCCTTTTTGAGGACTTCACTGTTCATTTGCTCGGAGGAGAGAGTAAAACTATTTATCTAAACTGGAAACAGAATCCATTGTTCCTTCTTTGTAAAATGATTGGTAAAATAACGGTGTCTTATACCAGTAGCATCTCATCAATGGAGAGGGGGGTATTCAATCACCTGTTCTGCAGTATTTTAGTCTTATTAACTGCAGTCGTTTTAACATGTTCAATTACATTTCAGGTCCAAGAAACTTCTGTGGAAGCAGCACGCCCAAGTGATGGTAAATGTGATTTTTCTCACTGCAAAGAGGAAAGCGAAAGCAAAGCGCCACCCCTGAAAACGAAGTGCAATCATGAAGCTTCATTACTCAGCAGTGCCCACCTCCAAAGTCCAAAAATCAGAGTTGTGCCCCCCAAAATCACGAGATTGGCCTAAAAATCACGAGATGCTAAGAAGTTATCAACTTGGGGTTCTTTTTATTTGCCTTCTAGTTTCTGAGTCTTTGGGGATGCTCCGGAGTCATATTTTCATGCTTTTCTCGGCAACTGAGAGGGCTAGAAATGTCCTCAGAGAAATGAGAGTGGAGATTTGCATGAATTCACATGACTCCAGGAGCTCAAATACCAGTTGTCGTGTGAATAGCAATAACATCACAAGAGTTGGCAACACAGCGTGATTGTAATTGCCTCTCAGCAGAGCCCCTCGTTTGTTCTGTTTGCTGCAGTTCTTTGGATCAGCGCATTGAGCTAAAGTGACGGTTACCCTTGTCTTACACACAAGACATTGGCTATTTGTGAAGTATCAGGTTGACTTTGTCAGCCCTGTTGGCCTTTAGAGCCCTAAATGTGTGCTAGCCAAGGCTGATCAAAACTCAACTGCTTTTCCTGCTCAAGACAAACCTTCCCTTGCAAGGGCTGAGGACAGAAATGAGGTGAGATTTGGGCAGAGAATGGGGCGGGAGGGGGGGTCTGTCTTCACTGTAGAGTTATCCCAGCTCTTACTCGGGGGTCAGTCTATCCCCACTCCCATCCACACACACAAACTTCTGACCTGAGTTTAGTGATGATTTCAGCCTGGGCTACCTGGCCCATCCTGGGGTCCCTGCTAAAACCTGAGTGCTGCCTTCACTCAAGCTGGAACCTGCCCACAATCCCCCCCGGCCACCCAGAAGGGCAGACAAATTCTACCATTATTCACTGGATAGGAATCAGAGCTTAGTGCAACCCAGAGAACCCTGGGATGTGCCCCCAGGAGTCCTAGCAACAGACACAGGGGAGTACGGCCTCATGAGGATACAGTAACTTGGGAAGGGCTTTGCACTGTGGCTGCTTGTACCCACGGGCGATCGCCCCGGGTAACCCTGCAGCGAAGACATAGCTTGGGAATGTCTTAGGCGACGTGCGGTGCTGATGAGATGCTTAACTACTCATGTCCCTCCTTCAGCATCCCTCCTGCTGGAAATAAGTTGGCATCCCTGATCCTGCATCTTGCTTGACCAGCACTTCTTCCCATGCATTTATACACTCAATACGCTGCACAAGCACGGGGCTCCATCCAGCTTGCTGGAGACCCCAGCTTTCCATCAGAGCAACCAGTCCTGGACTGTCGTGGGCTCTAGCGGGTGATGTTCATTCCCTCTCTCCCCACTTTTAGGATCCACTTTGAAACTTTCCCCGCTGCCCCATAGGTAATTCTATTATGACCACTGCTAGTTGCATATATTTAGACCTCCTATCCCCCCCCATTAGCTTGCATTCATCTCAGTGATTAATGACACCCAAGAAACTATGTTAAAAGGGCATTATTAGGGTTGCAAAGTCAAGCATTCAAAAGTTAGAAAAGCCCAGCAATAAGGTTGCCTGTGCAATCTTAATTCAGTTCTCTTGTGCGTATGCATTATGAGACCGTCATTAATTACATGGTTGCATCCTATTTATTCCCCACCTGATTCAGGGTTAGGCCTCACCCCAAATCTCTGGTCTCAAGCACGTTCAGTCGCTCTGTGCGGATGGCCACGCACAGACTGGTCAGCGCTAGCAGTCGTGAGGGGCTGGAGCATGCTCATTGAGGATGGACTCTTCCAAGATTTTAGCTGCTAAAGTCTGAGAAGTCTCCGCTGAGCATGTGCCAACTGAGATTTGTTCAAAGACTTATAAGTTGGCCAAAGTTGGGATAGCAAAGGGCACGTCCCTGACACACAGCCCCGCCTCCTGCCACATTTCCAGCCCCTGCTCCCAATCACAGGGGTGGCAGGACTTTCCGCAGAAAAAGGTTGCCAGGATGTTTTAATATGGGCAAAACCATGTATTTTTCCTGAGCCTTGTTCTCAGAAAGGACTGGGCTGAAATCCTCCCCCCAAAAATTCAGACTGAGGCAGACACCCAGCATGGAAAATTTCTGCCTGAACGATTCAAGTTTGGCAAAATATCAGACAGCTTTAATAATAGATGGTGCTACCAGCTCCGCCTATAATAATCCTCTATCGGGAGAGGCAGAAACTCTGCCTTGGCCTGGATAAAGCAACTGCTAGATCCTGTCTGCCATTGCTTTCTGGAATGCCATTCGTAGGGGTATCTGTCTAGCTCCTTTCCCAACACACACATGGCTCTGTCTGCTGTTAGGCCACACAGCCATGCTAGGGCTGGGTCTAGAACCCTGGATATAACAGGGCTTCCGTCTTGCGTTCTCCACCCAGGCTTACCGCATGGAGTTCATCGCCGCATGGAGGAAACTCAAGCTGGATGTCGTGCTGTGTCCGGTTCTAGGTCCTGCCTTCACGGTCGGCTATCCTGGGAAGTTATTCGGTAACCTGGCACTGGCTGGTTCCGTGATGTGGCAGCCATGAATCTCACCCTCACGGCCCTTCTGTTTGCACAGAAATGGCGCAGCTCTGAGAATCAACCTGCTAGAATTGTTAATACGGATATTTACTGCCAGGGATATCACTACCCGCCTCAGGAGACAGTGTGGTCTAGTGGGCAGGACAATGGCCTCAAAAACAGGGGGTCTGAATCCTAGGTCTAGTCTAATCTAACCATTGGTGTGGACTTTGAGATGTCCTTTTGGTTGAGTTTCCCCTCCCACCTCTTGTCTATTTTGACTGTGATCTCTTTCTGCCGATACGTTTGCATATCAGGACTGGATCAGGCTCAGAGCCACTAGACGCTCCCGTAATGCTAACAACGAAACTGCTTTTTCCCCCCCTTTAAACTAGCCAGCTCACCCAGCTACAATTTGTTTCTCCATCCCTGGCTCAGCAGGGAAGTTTAATTCCAGAATTCATGTAATTAAAACAATAGATATAACTTAGAGAATTTTTCACTTGACCAGAGCTCAAAGACTTGTGATTATCTCAGCCCTGTACAAGTGTTAACTATCAAAGTTCCCAACACCCAATAATGTCGATAGGGATAAATAAGCTCCATTTTACAGCTGGAGAAACAGGGACACAAATGTTAAATGATCTGCCCAAGGGCTTTGGAGGACGTCAGTGTCAGAGGTGGATCTAGACTGCCAGAGATTCTGCCTTCCCAGTCTGTGCTGAGGACTTTCGACCACACTCTCTCTCCCCGCGGTGTAAACAGAAAAAGGTGCAGATCATTGCTGGTGCGAATCATTTTGCGTGAGTGCGGGGCAGACGGCTGTGTGAACAACGACAGTCCCTGTTACCGATTTGCAGGGTTTGAGGGACGGCCCAGAGGGTGATTCTCAGAGTGGAGTGCAACGTGTCTTCCATTCGCAAAGCGGATGCACGCGATGTCCCTTGTGCACTGTCGAGATCCAGAACCCCACGGCTGGCGCTGCCTCGCTGGATTCCCACTGGTGATATTCTGTGTTTTGCTCCTCCCAGCTGCTGTTTCCTCTACCATGTTGTACAACGTCTTAAACTTCCCCGCGGGGGTTGTGCCGGTCACCACCGTTACGGAGGCTGATGAGGAAGATCTGAAGCATTACACAGGGCACTACGGTGACCCCTGGGATAGGACACTGAGGCAGGTCAGCAGACATGAAGAAGAGGGGGTCATGGATGGAGTGGGGGACTGCTGGTGCATGAGATTAATCTGTTGCTACACTATGAGAATATCTCCCCCCTCTCGCTCTCCTTATTAGAGCAGGAACTAATTGAACATGAGAGAGGCCCGAACTCTGCAGTTCAGCATCAGCTTTCCCACACATTTGGGGGGCATTGGGATCTGGTATTTGGGTTCACCCCATTGTCAGAATGGGTCCAGCTAGGAAGTTCAGATCAGGATTCCAAAGGCTATTTGGATCCAGAGCCTGACATCCCAGGTAACATCCCGCGGCTTGTTTCTCCTCTGCAGGCTGTGGAAGGAGCCATGGGGCTGCCTGTCGCCGTTCAGTGCGTGGCTCTGCCGTGGCAGGAGGAGCTGTGTCTGCGGTTCATGAAGGAAGTGGAGACGCTCGCCCGAGGGAGGAAGAGGAGAAAAGTGTGACCTCTCAGGGGGTATGCGTCTCTAAGGAATCCAGCTATTCCTTCCCAGCCAATAAAAGGATTGCAAAAAGTCCTTTCAGCAAAACAATGCAAGGTTTCTCTCAAGTATTTACTTGGTGTCTAAAGTGCAGGATGAGAGCGTAAGAATCAATGTATAACCAGAAACCAGCAACCAACCAACCCAGAATATCACCCAGCAAAACCAGGAGGGTGTGGGAAAGAGGAATTCCCCTGTCAGATCAGACATGTACAAACTGTTCTGGGTCATTTCTCCAACGCGAGTGGGGGAAGAAAAGCTCCGGTCTCTTCTCCCCTCAGTGTAAATGCAAATGATTCCAATTATTGATGTCCTACATAATTTATACCTTGGATGTTCTTTGCACCACCACCATCTTTAGGTCGCTCGGTAAAATACACCCGGCGCATCTGACACAAGGGAAGCTGTGTGGTCCCTTTAAGAAAAAGGGACGGGACAATGTTTCAGGGCTTGAGGCAGACTTAAGATCAGACTTCAGCCCCGGGAAAGTTTTCAGTCTGATCCAGGAGGTTATGTGATTGCAGTGAAGCCAAAAGAGAAGAGAAAATGCTTTTAAAGGAGCCACAACCATCTGATTGGTGTCAGAGCCAGAGTCCTCAAAAAGAAAACGGGGACAAGAGACAGCATGAGGTCTTTTCCTGTCTTTAAAGTGAAGCTCTGCTCCCAAAATGGGACTGTAGCTCCTTTTTACTGGTCATCACTGAACTAGGAATCACAAGATCTGGGCTTTGTTCCCAGCTCTTCCAGTGTCTTGCTGGGTGAACTTGGGCAAGTCACTTCATCTCCGTGACTTGGTTTCCCTATATGTAAAATAGTGAGGCAGGGATGGGGGGGAGCAGAATTGATGTGGGGTCTCTGGAAGGAGAACTGATGTTGGGGCGGTGGGTGAGAACTGGCATCTTGGAAAACTGATGATGAGGCTTGGAGGGGGCAGAACGTATGTGAGGACAGAACATTGTTTTGGAGGATTGAGCATGATCAGGGGCATAGACCATTCTTGTATGTGGGGGCGAGAGTTAAAAATAAAAAATAATCAAATGAAAAATTGTAGACGGTTCAGAGAAGAGCCACGAGAATGATTAAAGGGTTAATAGTGATAGACAAAAGGAGCTCAATCTATTCCTCTTAACAAAGAAGGCTAAGGGGTGTCTTGTTTACAGTCTAAATATCTGTATGGGAAACAAATAGTTAATAATGGCTTCTTGAGTCCAGCAGAGAAAGGTCTAACATGATCCAATGGCTGGATGTTGAAGCTGACCAATTCAGACTGGAACTAAGACGTACACTTTTAACAGCGAGAGCCATTAACCATGGGAACAATTTACCAAGGGCTGTAGATTCTCCATCATAGACAATTTTTCAATCAAGATTGGATGTTTTTTTCTATAAGATTTGTTAGAGGGCTTTCCCTCAAACCCCCCCCCGGTTCTTGTCATACAGATGGCAAGCAGCAAAAGACCAGAAGTCCAAAGTGCAGACAATGCGATGTTTATTGGGGTTAATGTCCAAGCAAGCATATTCCGAATCCCTTCACACCAGTCGGGCTTATCTCTATATGCCGATAGAATCTCTTCCCAGCTCTGATGCCTCAGAGCATTTACCCTGCGTCCCCCTTCCCAGTTGACGCCGTAGAGCCTTGCCTGTGTCCCTGTTCCCTATTCCCGTTCCTCCCCCCCCTTAGCAAGCATGATTCCAATTTCCCTTCCATTTCCTGTTTGATCCCAGTTTATATAGTAATATTCTCAGCTATACCTTAACCAATCATTTTACTGAAATGTAACTAAACAATCCTAACATATTGTAACATAATTCTCTAACCAATCATATCCCACCACCCTAATTAACTTACACCCAGCATAATTAATTATACAGCAGACAGAAATAATTGGAGAACCAGACCGATTAACAATAGAAAAGTGGGGGCCATAAAGATAAAACAATACAGAAATGAGGGTTTCACAACCACAACCATTGATAAGTGATTTCTTGCCAGACAGGATGCCATCAAACTAAGTTTTCTTTAACCATCTTAAGATCTGTCTCTTTCTCTGGTGGCGATGGGCATTATCGGGACAGGATTGTCTTCCTAGCAGCCCAACAGCACCTTATTTCAGCGTGACTGGTTTGGGAGGTGAGGATGTGGCTGTAGGCTTCCCAGCATATGGTTGCCCCTGCTGCTTAGCCAAAGGTCTTAACCTAAGAACAAGGCCTCAGACTAGCCAAGTGAGATAAGGCCCATACTCAGGCCGACTGTGATTTTGATTCTTTTGGCTGGTCCACACTAACCCCCCACTTCGAACTAAGATACGCAACTTCAGCTATGTGAATAATGTAGCTGAAGTCGAAGTATCTTAGTTCGAACTTACCGCGGGTCCACACTCGGCAGGCAGGCTCCCCCGTCGACTCCGCGTACTCCTCTCGCGGAGCAGGAGTACCGGCGTCGACGGCGAGCACTTCCGGGATCGATTTATCGCGTCTAGACAAGACGCGATAAATCGCTCCCAGAAGATCGATTGCTTACCGCCGGACCCGGCGGTAAGTATAGACGTACCCTTTGTTTTTATACCCCTATAACTAGCTAAGTGATAAAAATACACCTAAGTTCTTAAAGTACAGGCTTTACAGGCAGGCCTGAATATCTATATTCTAACAAGATTATTTGGGGAAGTTCTCTGGTCTGTGTTATACAGGAGGTCAGACTAGATGATTCCAATGGTCCCTTCTGGCCTTGGAATCTATAAATAGCTGTTGAATATCCCTTTAATGAGTTTTGTACCAGACTAAATTTGCCCAGTTTGAAGGAAGTGAAATAAACAAATAGCTGTTCCAAACTCACTGTTTCCTTCGTTAATGCAATCCCTACCTTTTGGGGGGAGCAAGCCGCCAGTTGTTTACATGCATGATGCTGCATATGCATAACGGGGCTGAATTAAAGTTGCACAGATGATTTTAATTCTGGGATTTCCTAACTCTTGAGTGCTTGACTCTGCAACCTTAATAATGGGCTTTTAATGTTGTTTTGTTTGTAATTTCTTAGATTTTTTTTAAAAAGCAAAACTAAAAAAAAACAAATTCCATCATGTAGCTTCATTTTGACACCTACATGCTCATCAGCAGGGTTGGAGCCATCATACCGAACTCTACCACTTGAACTAATGCAGTAACTGATAGAGGATAACAACCTACTACTGCTATGTGGACCAGCACTGGAGGAAGGGGGATGAGACACCACTTGCCCAGTGTGTTTTCATAGATTTGCTGATAGAGTAATAGTGAGACATCAATAGTCAGGCATCTTGGGTTCCGTTCCAGGCTCTGGAGGGGAGTGTGCTTTGGTGGGCACAGACTCGTCTGCCCATTTTCCCCAAGCTTGACCCCTGCTGTCCCATTCCCTGCAGCCCATCCCTGGCTCCTTCTCCCAGGCTTCTCATCCCAGTCCCAGTCTCCTTGCACAGCCAGTCCTAGTTCTCCTGCTCTGAGCTTGCTGTCCAAGTCCCAATCTCCCCCTCTCCACACTCATTCCTGGTCTCCTTGCTGTATCTAGACTTCACGCAAAAGTAGTGAGCCAGCAGCCAAAAACAGGTGGAAAGTGCTTTCAAATGCACATACTAATGAAGCTTAAACAAATAAGATTTTTTTTGTTAGTTTCTGAATAAATACAATAAATTCACAATGGGGTTTGTGCCTTTTTAAAGCTTTTTTTTTCTAAAATACAACGTACAGCCAGAAACTCTCAAAAATATGAATTCTGTACAACTCTGTAGATCACCCATAAAAAGGATGTTTTCTCCCTTATATAGAATGTCAACTTATGAACATGACATGAAGTCAACATCTCTTACTGCCATTCACAAAAATCCCTCTGAATTTCATAAAAATATAACATACAAATACAAAATACCCCTCACCTACCCCACAACGCCTGCTGTCTCAGAGTGGGTCCAGGAGAGTTCTGCTCCTCTTAAGCCTTGGCTCTGCAGGTTGGCTTGCCATTGGAGGGGAAATCATTGACGAGGAGTCTGGGTATGTTTTTAGTGCAAATGCTTTGCATACACACCAGTCCTGGAACAGGGGTGGTCAGCAACTGCATGCAGGTGAAATGTAGCCAAGTCAGCTGATTAGAAGTAACATTTGGCTTGTCCGTGTGGCGTTGGGTGGATGTTTTCAGGCAGTTGCGGCCTATGGTTTTTCCACTTGTCACTGAAGTACATTCCCCCCTCCCTTGACCAGAGCCCTGCGGCATTTTTTGCAGCATGGAGTCATGATGCAAACCCCACCCAGCCTCGTGATGTTTGGATGCAAATTCCCACCCAGTGTCATGACACCTGGATGCAAACCCCGCCCCGATTTTTTGGGCTGGCTTTTCCATGTTTTGGGGGCCAATAACACTGGGTTTAGGGCAGTTTTCTAGCAAACCCTAGGCTGGTTTCCGGGATAGCAGCTCCGCCCTAAGGATTGACTCTAAGGGTATGTCTACACTACCCGCCGGCAGGTAGTGATCGATCTATCGGGGATTGATGTATCACGTCTTGCGATACATCAATCCCCGAACGCGTTCCCCATCGACTCCGGAACTCCACCAGGGCAAGAGGCAGAAGCAGAGTCGACGGGGGAGTGGCGGCCATCGATCCCGCACCACGAGGATGCAAAGTAAGTCAATCTAAGATACGTAGACTTCAGCTACGCTATTCTCGTAGCTGAAGTTGCGTATCTTAGATCGATCCCCCACCCTAGTGTAGACCACGCCTAATTAGCGAGATTAAAACAGATCAAACTCCCTTGCTGCTCACTACAGCTCTCCCCAAGGAATCCTCTACACCAAACTAAAAGCAGCACAGTGATTTCTTCCAGCAGTGAAATAGAACTTGCCTAACAGCACCATCTAGTGGCTCCCCAGCCCTCATAACTGTATTCATTGTCTATGTCCAAAGACACCTAGCATTTGCTAGAGGGGTTGAGCTAGAACTAGAGTCCTTAATGCCAACCTGCTATTGGTCAAATAGGAACACAAGAGACTTGTTCCATGAAGTTATGGGTGAAACTCATCTTGTTGAAGGCCAACGCAAGGCCTCTGCCCCACTTGAGTCCCATTGTTTTAAAGGCGTAAGTGGGGCATAGGAATGAACTCCAGCCCCCATCGCCATGTTCCCATGGAATTGTTTCTGCCTGACAAGCTTTTTAGTGTTTCCATCATTCTTCTGCACAATGCATTGTAAAGACTGACTCTTCAGGTCCAACCTGTGTAACTTAATTATTTAAATGTAGCTTCTAATTGACTGGCTGGTTCCCTTTCAATTTAGAGGACTTATTGAAATAGACTAGACAAACATAGGGCCCAGCCCCATTCTCCGTCTAAACCCCCAGGGTGTACATAGTCAGCTCCCACCACTGGGATGAAGTTACCATCCCCATGGGAACTGGCTCCACCCTCCATAAGATGCATGGGCCCCTCTTTAGCCTCCACCCCAAGCATGATGCATGGTCAGACGGTGTTGGGACATGACCCAGGCTCTGCCCACACTCTGTTTGCCTTCATCCCCCATAACAGCTCCCCCGCCATGTGGCAAAGCCCTAGAGAATTCAGTACAGCTGTATATCCCTTTGGTAAGATTCTCTGTTCCATTCCAGAGGGAGATGGAATCATTTCTCCAGAACCCTATGACATTTCTTTAAAATCCTGATCTTTTCATCCCTATTAAGATTTCCAGAACTTTTCCATGAAGGCCTGCAGCTCAAGAGAAACTTATGCAGAGGTTCAAAGTTCCAGCATTCCCACGTGTTCCATGTTCCCTCAAATCACAGATACCATGTTCTATAGTCAGCCACTTTGTCACCTGGTAAAAATGTAATTGCTAATTGTAGCTGATGCTAATATACACAGGCTAACCTATATCCATGTTATGCTGCCAATACTACCTGTCACACATATTCCAAGTAGTTAAGTATTGTATATAGATTATTAAGCATTAATACAGCAGTTATATAGCCCCAAATTGGCCTGTACCTTTGTTATAATCCTGTACACGTACGCTACGTACCCCATAACACCTTGCATTATCTGAAGTAAGCCTTGGCTTGAGTAGATAGGAAAACTGTCAGTCTCAGAGCATATGATTATTTCCTCATGGCAACAGGAAAGG